ATATTACAGATCCATGCATACTCGGATTGGACTTTTTAAGGAAATACAATTTTTCCTTAGACTTGAAAAACAACAAACTGCTTTCAGCATCTGATGGCATGACTATCCATCCTCAAAAGGGATCCTCGCCTGGAAATGCCGACGCCTTGTCCGAAAGAACCAGCTCGAGAAACAGCCGAAATCATGCTAGGGTCGAAAAGAAACACCAGACTACCAGCTATTCTCCATCTCAGATGCTCTTCGGTCGAGACCTTCGTCTGCCTTGTGACCGCCTGTTTCATCGCCGTACGGATGCGCCTTCATCGCCTGAGGAACACATCCAAGATGTCAAGGCCCGTTTTGAAGTGATGCACCGTTCCGCACGAAAGCGAGTGAACTTGGCGACGGAGAAAGTGGCGACGGAGAAAGTGACCAGATACAACGCGAGAGCTACTGGACATAGATTCAACAAAAGAGACAAGGTGTGGTTGTGGAACCCGATTCGGACGAAAAGGAGTCAGGCCTGAATTACAGTCACCTTCGGATGGTCCATATACAGTCCTGAAGAGACTGAATGACGTCATCGGATCCGTAAGTCTTCGAACTCTAAACCTAAAGTCGTTCATTACGACAGGTTAGCTCATTACTATGGCCATAGTACGTAATGTAAATAATTGTAAATAGTATCAGACCATGGTCCTTTTTGTTTTTAAATGTGTATTTGATTTGATTTGTATTTGTATTTGTATTTGATTTGTTTGATTTGATTGTATTTAGTATTTGTTTTGTATTTAGTATTTGATAGCATTTGATTGTTTTAGTTAGTTATTGCATTTATTGTTCATGTTGTTTGATATTGTAATGTAATGTTTATGCCACAGTTGTAAGTTTAGCTTCCTGTCCAGGGATTGTACTGCCCGGGACGTGCAGTCCTTGGGAAGGGGGCAGTGTTACGAATTTGGTATTTAAAAAGCTAATGTTAGTTCAATTATAAATTAAATGGTTTTATTTCTCGCGCAGTGCAGCGCGTGACGAATATTAAAAGAAAGCTAAGCCGGAAAAATTAAAAATACAAGAGCGCGTGCGTTAAATAAATAAATATCTCTTTTTGATTTCGAGAAAGTGCTGGAAAATTCTAGCGCGTGATTTTAAAATCTTTATAAAAGGAGGAAAACATCTCAGTTTGTAGTAGTTGCTTAGTTTGTTGTTGTTTAGAAAACTGCTCTTGTTGATTGTAGCGAATTCGCGGATTAGCGTTCTTTAGCTGTTTTGAATTACGTTCTATTGGACATTTGAGTAGTTAAAAGATAACTACTGTGAGATATTGTAATACTGCATGATAATTTGAGAAAATTTAAGCATTTTTGTTGTGATAATAATAAATTTTTGTTCATTTTTCATCGGACTTGTGCATTCATTTCATAACGAACTCGTACGCACGCAATAATATTCATATTCCTAATTTTATAAAATTAGCTTTGTTATAAAAAATTTTTAAGAAAATGCATAAAAAAAATTATGCACGAAAAATGTTTGGAGAGTAGAAAAGGTAATGTATTTAAAAGTCAATAAAACATTAAATATAAGTTAGATTCTTAATTCAGAAAGGCAATTTACACTTTCAAAAAACGCACAAAATTTGTCTCTAAAGACATTTCCTTTTCAGTTATTACTTCGTCATTCTCTGGATTACAAAAGGAAACTTTTAAGGAAATTGATTTTCCTTTGGCAATAAGTTTTTATTTTTCTTGGATATGGAATGTTTTGGCACTATCTGAGGATAGAGGAAACTATTGCCAAGAGCTGAGTGTCCAAAACTTACCCATTACTCAAAATAGTTATTACAGACAGATAAATAAGGTTGTATAAATTATATATATACAAATAATAATAAAATGATATAGTAATATTATGGTTCTATATAAGAATAAAACTTATATACAGTCATAAAAAAATTTAGGTACTTTTCCGTTTCGCCGGAGCAAATCTCGCCAAGCAGACTTCATTGGCGACAACATATAGTATACACGTAAAAAATGTTAACAAATGTTAGTTCTAAGAATTTTTAATTTTGAAGGCATAAACATTTTAATATCGTTTAAAATTTTGTAGAAAGCCAATAAAGAAAGACAATAAATTTGTAAAATAACATTAGTTTAAGAATTTACTATGCTTTCATAGTTCAACATCCTGATTCGCCGGTTCGTATCACGTGACCTCAAGTGATCTCATCTCATGTGAACTACACTACAAAAATCTAATTCTCTCAGTAATTATATACATTAATTTTAAGTTAAATCTTAATTTGGAATACAAGTTTAAATGCAATTTGTACAAATAGCTTAATGCAAACTTCAATTTATACTTATGAACTTCAAGTTGTACAAATAGCTTATGCAAAACTGCAGTGTTTTTTTTCGCAAGTGCATTCTCATTAGAATTGATGAATTTAACCCTTGACTTTGCCTTTTCTATATTTTTTTCCTTCGGGTGAGTGGTGTGATGTCATCTTAATTGACTTAATACCGCGAGTGGCCTTGGGGCATAAAATTGAACTATCTGGTAAAAATTCTATGTAATTATATGCCAGTATTGAAAGAAATAATCAATCTGATAGGAAATGGCTGCGACTTGTTTTGAAAATGAAGTGTAAAGGATACCAGAGAGGATATACCGTTTGGCATCAGTTGCACCATTATTGGCGATTTTATCGCCAGCGTCAGCTAAACAGAAAAGTACCAAAATTTAAAATAACATAAATAGCCCCGATTTTATACGTGTATTATCGATTTAAAAAATGTTTCTCATAGATCTGAATATGATATACACCTGTTTGCATATATTATTCATTCATTAAAAATTGCATATATTACTTATTCATATTGTGGCATTGCACACATCATGTGCTAACTTAAAAAAAAAAAGGTTAGAGAACTGCACAAATCAAATTCATAGAATGTGCATTCCTATGCTCTCTATTGCTAGGCAAACTACCTTATTTATGAAAAATTGTAATACTTTCTTTTTATTAGCAAGCAAACTCTGCAGTGGCATTACAATTTGTTACACAATAATAAAAAAATCCACACACTAATCACAGGAAACATAAAAATTATCCTCGAGTTTCAAAATCATACCAATTACTTCTACCACCACCGACATAGATGATGGCATTACACGCTCAAACAACAGGGGGTTGCCAGATAAATAAATTTTCATAAAATTATGGGTTGCCTGCTTTGGTGACATATCACCTTGCCCAGTGATTCTTATCAGAGTGGATATTGCAATAATACTGAAATATTTCTTCAGCTCATTTTATACATATATTATCCACTTAAAAGATGTTTCTCATAGATCTGAATATGATATACAATTGTTTGCATAAATTACCTATTTCACTTAATCACACATATGACATTTTTCTGTACAGTATAGATATGCTAACAGACAGGCAAGCTTTATTCCTTTCAAATACAAATTTTAACTCAAACCTAAGTTATCTCTCATATGGGAATACACGTAAGCAATGTTTAAATGTGTACTCTTCTGTTATCGAGACCAGATTCAGAAACGTATGTATGCATATACATGCACATATATACCATACATCCATATTATACATGAATATATACATACATGCACACATTTCTGAATCTGCTACCGATAACAGAAGAGTACCCTTAAATGATTTCTTCATTTATCACGTACATAAAGCATCTGGCTGTGTATGGGTAATTAAATGCTTCATCAAATAATGCTTTAGCACAAATGAATGGTTACATATATTACACATGTAAGGTTTCACTCCTGTGTGTATACGCATATGTCCCATTAAATTAGACTTGCGTCGAAATGTTTTGTTGCATATATCACAGGCAAATGATTTCTCTCCTGTATGAATAAGCCTATGTTCAACTAAATGATGCTTCTGCATAAATGATTTGTTGCATTTATCACACGCGTGACGTTTTTCTCCTGTGTGGATACGCATATGTTGCACTAAATTAGAATTTTGACTGAATGCTTTATTACATACATCACATATATAAGGTTTTTCCCCTGTATGTATATGTATATGCAACATTAAGTTACGTTTTTGTGTAAACAACTTGCAACATATGTTACATACATAAGGTTTCTCTCCTGTGTGGATATACATATGATCCACTAAATTAGAATTTTGATGGAATAATTTATTACATATGTAAGGTTTCTCTTTACGCATGTGCAACATTAAATCTCGTTCTTGCACAAATGACTTTTCACATGTATTGCACACATAAGGTTTGTCTTCTGAGTGAATATGCATACGTTCTATTAACCGGTGTTTCTTTGTGAATGATTTCTTACATTTATTACATGCATGAGGCTTTTCTCTTGAGTGGACAGACATATGTTCCGCTAAATTATTCTTTTTAAAGAATGATATATTACATATCTGACACACATAAGTTATGCTTCCTTTGTGGGTATGCTTATGCCTCATCAAATTATGCTTCCGCCTGAACGACTTGCTACATTTATCACACACATGTGGCCTATCTCCTGTGTGGATTCGTACATGTTCCACTAAATGATGCTTTCGCATGAATGTCTTGTTACATCTAGTACATATATGAAGTTTGCCTTCTGTATGGCTATGCATATGTACCACTAAATGAGACTTTTGATTGAATGATTTGTTACATACATTTGTATATGAGGGCATCCAGCCATACTCTATCGAAGGCCTTGGCGACATCTAAGAAAAGTCCACCAGTGACACGATGTTGTTGCATCCCACTGCTTATTAACTCAACAACTCTGTAGAGTTGATGCGTTGTCGAGTGCTTACGCCTGAACCCAAACTTATATGGTATGAGGATCTTCTGCTCATCCAGAAAGATGTTTAGTCTATGGAGAATAACTGCTTCCACGATTTTGCTAATTGAGCTTAGCAAACTGATTGGTCGGTAACTCTCAGGAGCAGTCGCAGGCTTGTTTGGCTTTAGCAGAGGGACAATCTTGGCAGTTTTCCAAGGCATAATTCGTTTTCTGCTGAATGTATAGGTAGGAATTATTTTTAATTTTGTAAATATTTAATTAACTTTGAATACAAAATTATTTATTAATTGTATATAATTTATCGGTTTGTGTGGGCAGTTGAAAGTGGAAAAAAATTCGTGTCGTTTATGCACTTTTTCTTATTAAATACTGCGAAATGTGATATATCTTTGTATTTCTGTGCTCTCTTGAACAAATATACACCTTTTTTTTTGTGTGTGTGTGTGTGTGTGTGTGTGTGTGCTTTCTGTTGTATCAGATGAACAGTAATGTTAATTATCTGGCTGAGCAAATAAATAAAATGTTCTGTAAACTATCCTGCTCAGCATGCACCATTTATTATTATATATCACCTTTAATAATGCTTCTAATTGAGCATGTTTACCCAGAAACATCAACATTGTGTCCTCAACCGAGCCAGAGCGTGTAATATTAAAATCAGAAATCTAACGTTATATGTTTTATTGTAAACAATCCTAGTATTATTATTCTGTTATTTGTAGCGAAATTAAGTAACAATTTTATAATTAAGTAACGAATGAATTTTTAATTAATTAACGAATAAGAAATTAAGTAACGAATGTACAAAATTGCAGCAAAAAACAGTGGCTTTCGCTACGATGTGCTTGTTCTGTCAGTATTAATCCAAATTAATGAATTTTGTATGATTGCTGCATTTTTTATTGCTTCATACGTAGGCTGCTAATTTTTAATGACTGAAGATAGAGAAATGTTAGACGAGATCATTAAATTCTCTCCTTAAAAAGTTATACAACAAGATTCCATTTGCAGCTGTGATTATTTTCAGTTTAAATAAGTGTGACGAGAGATTTTGCCGTCTCTTGACACAATGCCATGTCAAATATTTTAGTTGCATTTTTGTAATTGCATGTGTGTGGTAGTACAGGTAGTTATGCATGTAATTCACAACATTGTTGGTGTAGTGTGTAAGTCAATGTAGACATGCCTAACATCATCATTTGTCTCCCAACTGCAGAGTCGTAGGCGAGAAGTTGAGTATGCAGCTGAAATCATAGAATGAATGTCAGTTTGTGTTTGCTTCACTGTGGTTCAACAGTTCTTGTGTTAAGTTGGCATTAAGGTAAAAAATTACAAGGAGAAGAAAGGTTCAATGTAACCTTTGTATGTATTTATGGGATTTTGTCTTTGTAAGTAAGACAATGATTACCACATCAACAAATACATTTTAAACTATAGGAAAGCTCGTTCTAATAATGTATTGAAAAAAGTGGAAAATGAGGGGAATATTTTTAATAAATTTCAGCACTGTAAAGTGGGGAGGGAATATAGTAATCCATCATTGGCAGGTCTTGGATAAAGCAACATGCATCGTAATAAGAGATCACATCATCTTTATGACTAAAGGTAAGAATCAGCCGCAGTGAAAAAAAAAAAAAAAAAAAAAAAAAAAACATGCTCATTCTGTTTTGACATTCAAAGTTAAAATATGCATCAGATGATTGTATAGTTCATTAATGCCATATATTTTGTTAATTTCACAAGACTGGATCAAATTATTTCGTAACAGTAGTATATAAATTTGGTAAAGTTGCCAGCTGGAATGTCCTCTGGAGCAGGATTTTTAATTTTCTTTTCTGTTTCAAGGGCAAACTTGCTAGCAAATTCTAATCTGTGTAATTATGTCATATATTAACCCATTAAATGCTGTGGTGCTCATTTGGTTATCATAAACAGTCAAAAGTCTTTAATCTGGACTCTTCGGCGATTCCGGATTATATATCATCAGTTTAAATCTGGTAAGATGGCATGCAGAAATTATAAAATTAAAAATATGAAATAAAGAGCAATTATGATCTAAAGGGTATCAAAATTTACAAAAAAACAAAAAAAAAAAAAAAAAAAAAGCTTAATATTTATTTGTTTACTTTATTAAACATTTCTTTTAACGAGCGCATGATTAAAGCATATATTACGCATAGTCGAAATTAGAAAATTGCAACCAGAAAACTATTTGATCTGTATTTGCGATATTTATAATTATTAATTTGATTTAAATCATATTAAAGACAGAGTACATCGAGATGAAACACTACATTTAGTGAGGAATAAAATAAAAACATCTGCCCTGAAGATGAGGATAGTGCTGACAGATCAACTTCCAGTTCATTGCGCGCCGCGACGTACCCCCTTCCCGCAGAGCAGCGCGAAATTGATAAACAGATTTCGGAATGGTTAGAGAAACAAATCACCTCTCTGTCACTTTCTTCATGCCTTTAACCATTTTTTGCAGCAATTCCACTTTTTGTTTGATGGACATCGAAACATGCTTTTCGCTTTGTAAATCCTTTGGTATCTCCAGAATCGGAAACTCTTTTTGACATAATTGAAAGTTCAAGCTTACTTTTTATTAAATTGCTCTAACAGTCCGCAAAAAATAATAAGCCGGATCGAATTAGAAGATTAAGAAACAACGCAATCTGCAACATTAACTGAAATAGATAATTATAGCTTAGCTTATACCATCCGTTCTACATGAAACGCATATGCGCATGCGTAAACACGTGCTGCGTTTAAGCATGCGCAGAAAGTTTGTAGCTCTGAGGTCCGGATCAAAGACTTTTGACTGTACTTAGCCGCCTAGTAACACCATCTAGGGTTGATCTTTGAATTATGGTAACTTGGCGATTTTTTGGCGAAAATTTGGCGACCAACTCTCGTACAGCAACCTTCTACTTTTTTTTTTCGGCGCCATTTTGTCTTCACGAAGTAAAGACATGTTTCTTTTTTTTTATTTACTGAACACTTTTTCCAACAATCTGCTAGCCAAATTACACTTATGCTAGAAATTTTTATGGAATCAAAACTGCTTAATCATCACAAATATTAACTGCAAAATTGGGAGAACAGTGCAGAATCGCAAACTCCTTGCCGCGTTTTTCAGAATCGCACATACACAGTAACCATGTACACGTCAACTTATTTTTACTTGAAAAAACATCCCAGAATTGCACACAAAATGGCATTGCGCACACTCTGACTTTATCCATGTACACTGCTTTTTTTCTCATAAATTAGAAACATTTGCACGAAAATGCAGGAAAAATTTTGTGAATCTTTAAACTCGGTAAAAAGCACACATATGAAATTATCTGATCGCGAAAAAGTATATACCCTTTCCAAGGATGAACATTTCCACGTATAAAATAAATAAAATATCCCAAAACTTTTCCCTCTAAATTATCTATTATAAACGTCACCAACGAATTTATAACGCAAACATTAAAAATGGTTGCAAATACTTAGTGTCAAATACACTCATGTCCATAAATTAAGGATAATGCAAAATCAGGCAAAGGAAGAGTTAGAAGCAAAACAAATTTGACTTACTTGTAAAGCTTATTTATTAAACAAAAGGTAAAGAGCAAAAAAAGATGCTACATGTTTGATATTATTAAAAAAATTAGCGATTTTTTCTCCCTGGAGCAAATTACAAAAAACACCTATTTACAAAAAATCAATATTACATGGTCGGTATGATTGTTAATACATTGTATGTCTCCCAGACGATGCGATTCAGTCCGTACAACGCCTAGGCATGCTGAGTATCAAATTATCGATCTGATCTTGGAGGATATTACACCACTCAAAAAGCATGCTCTCCGAAGTTCCGGTAGACATGTAGGAGCAGAATGACGGACTGCAACTCGTTGGCCAAGCATGCCCCACACGTACTCTACTGGATTCAAGTCCGGTGAGAATGTTGGCCAGTCCATACGGATGATATCCTCCGGTTGAAGGCATTCGCTTACGATGTTTGCACGTTGAGGACGGGCGTTGTCATCCATAAACACAAATTGTGCGCCCATGGCGCCCCGAAACAAGCGTACATGTTGTTCCAGAATGACGTCCCGATAGATTTGGCTTGTCATGGTTCCAGTTTGAACATGCAGGTCAGTTCTGGAACCCAGAATAATTCCACCGCAAACGAGCACTCCTGCACCACCGTAACGGTGTCTTTCAGTGATGTTTTCTTGGTGGTAACGGGTACTTGGAGCTCTCCATATGAAAGTCCGGTGAGAATCAGACTGCAAGCTAAACCTGGACTCGTCGGAAAACATCAAACAAGCCCACTGTTGCGGTGTCCACAATGCATGCTCTCTACTCCAGGCTAATCGCAGGCGACAGTGAGTTTCAGTAAGTGGAACGCATCTGACAAGTCTACGAGCATATAGACCAATCTGCCCTAAGCGTCTGTACACGGTCTGCCTTGAAATTGTGGTACCAGTGGCTGAAGAGAGCTGACGAGGCAGGTCTGAGGCTGTGCTCCGCCTGTTTCTTTTGACAGTAACTGCCAAATACCGGTCCTCATTCGGCGTTGTAACTCTGGGGCGACCTGTGCTGTAACGTTTACTCACATTACCATCATCTTGGAATCGTTGCCAAAGCCTGGAGATGACACTCTGTGCAATTCCAAGTTCGTCTGATTCTTCCAGTTGGGTACGCCCACATTCCAGACGGCCGATAATTCTACCACGTAAAAAATCATCCAAACACGTCATTTGTGTCATAACTATTCGGTTATTGCAATTAAATGCTTATAAAGTGCCTGCGAACAATTTTACTTCTTTGCCTGTATTCCTTATATATCACTCTCTTGCACTCTCGTCATTGTGACGTACCATCGGTGTCATCTGGTTACTTCCTGAAATTTGCATATGATTCTTGAAGATGTGTGTAGTGATTTTACAGGTGATATATTTATTTTAGAGTTCGATTTCTGCGTGACTCCGAATTATCCTTAATTTATGGACATGAGTGTATTTAAATTATTTCCATGCACGTTTAATTCTACTCAAACGTACTCCACATTGCTACAAACATATAATTCACAAAATAACTATCATTTAATTAAAATATAATTAAACCATGTACCCGTCAACTTATTTTTACTTAAAAAAACATCCCAGAATTGCACAAGAATGGCATTGCGCGCACTCTTCACTATATCCATGTAACTGCTTTTTTCTCATAAATTAGAAAAATTTCACGAAAACGCAGGAAAATTTTCGGTAAAAAGGACATATATGAAATTACCTGATCGCAAAAAAGTATATACCCTTTCCGAGGATGAACATTTGCACGTATAAAATAAATAAAATATCCAAAAACTTTTCCCTCTGAATTATCTATTAAAAACGTCACCTGCAAATTTATAACGCAAACATTAAAAAGGTTTCCAAATACTTAGTTTCAAATATTTAAATTCTTTCCATGCACATTTACTTCTACTCAAACGTATTCCAAAATACTACAAACATATAACTCACAAAATCACGATCATTAAATTAAAATATAATTAAATTATAAAACACTACTTAAAATATAAATAAGCACATACATTAAATTAATAAAAATTAGCTTACAATCCTAATTACTTTAAACTAATGCATTGCTAAACATTTTCTAATAATACCATATTAATTTATTTATTCCTTACATGCATAAAATAATATCCTAAATTCCTCAATGATTAAAAATGCTACTTACCTAATCTTCTTCACAATCTTGATTGCATGGCAGTTAAACTTTTCTTATAGATTCAATAATCCAGTCAACTGGCAGTCTATTCACCCACTAATAAGACTGGCAACTGGCACTAATAAGTAGTCAACTACTAATAAGTAGTCAACTGGCAGTCTATTCACCCATTAATAAGAAATTAATAAAATTTCACCCATACTCAAACGACTTTCAGCAAACCAAGTACCCTTCCTTACACTCCGTTTCACAAAATGTCCATTCTCACCAGATTTCTCGCACCGCCATTCAAACTTATCTGTAATATCCTTCCTTTCACACAATCTCATTTCATTCCCACATATTGGACATTCATACTTATCCGCAATTAATCCTACATTCATACACAATTCAAGCAATTCTTTTGGATTACACATAAACGCAATAAAAATTTCGGATTTACTTTACATAAAGCCATGGGATCCAAATATTAAGCAACACGGTTTCACAGAATATAGAATGAAGCTAATGCTATAAAGTAAGGCAGATATTTTGACAAATTTAACCCCTTTTCCAATTAAAGAACTTGATCGCCTAATTAAGAATATATATACTTATTCCTCCAAAAATAATCTATCGACATTTTGTATCCCAAGTTTGTTTTATTTACAAAAGTGCATCCTTTCAGCCAAATACCATCTAGCTATCTCGGAGGGAAAAAAGGCAACATTCAACTCATCCACTGAATGTCATTTGTAGAAAACCTAAAGTGATCACTACCTATACGCTCTTATGCTGAGCTCATGTTCATTTCCACATTCCACTCTCCTCTTATCACAAAAGCGAAACATGTGTTTTGAAAACGGATTAGACATAGTGGATTGAGGCTAATTTTTGGTCATTGTGATTTTACTATATTATTAGTGAGTGTTGATTAAAGCGGTTATTATTTACTTCTAGCAACAGTCCCTGCTAGACGGGACTTTCCTGAGAAACAAGATTTTTGGTAGCACTGGTTTAAATGGGAGGATTCTTAGAAAAAAAAAGAATCCCACCTAGCTACAGAAACAATGTAGCGGCTATGTGATATTTCTTCAAACCTCGCCAAAAATGTCTCAGCTGAAACTCTGTCCCGGGTAGAAATGAACCAATCAGATGAAAGTTCTGCTTCTGAAGGATCACGTGGTCCCAATCTGAGCGATAATCGATTATTGTTTGGCGTTGTCTTTGTAGTAAGTGAAAATGGTAACCTAGCTACATGGGTTTCCTGGAAATGTGCGGGTTCTGAGAATTGCCCCTTTCGTCATCCAGTTCGGCATAGCCGAAAGATAATGTTGATTTAAAAATTAGATAATGCTTTTGTTTTTGTCAGTGTAATTTGTATAGGTGATGTACACAAATTCATAAAGCCCCATTTGGAGATTACACTTGATACCGAGTAGAATTTCAACATTTCAACAAGCATTTTATGATTGCATTGTACAAGAATAGGCTTGAGGAAAGCTTTGAAACAATTTAAAGATAATATGGCATTCCCAGAACCTCTGTAATTCTGCCTTTGAAGATGACGGCAATGATTTTATAAACGTGGAGCTTCCTCCAGAGCAGGTTGATGGAGTTTTCTGATGATGGACTAGAGGCAGAATGAGGCATCTCTAGGAGTGACAAGTGTTATTTAAGATTCTGTGCTTAGCAACGAATCATTACGGGCATTTCAATAGAGATTAAAAATTGTCTTCAGTTAGTCATTTATCTTCAGTAACATACGAGAGGATGCTGAACAGGCACTGGAAGCTGTAGACACACTAATGTTTGTGAAAAATGCAACACCATGAAGGAATTGTCGGAAATGAATGAAATTTATTCCACATATTACCGATAGTGATACAAATAAACGATCACATTTACAAAGCAAAAAAAAACGAAAGTTGGAAAATCAGTACTTTGGGTTTCTGTCATGCTGAGCGAGAGCCTGTACACATCGTGGCATTGAATCGTATAGGTTCTGAATGTAATCCTGGGAAATGTCTTTGACTTGATGTGTGTGAAAAATGAAAATGTGAAAATTGTCGGAAATGAAATGAAAAATGAATGAAATTTATATTATGATATTACCGATAGTGATAAAACGATTACAAACAAAAAACAAAAAAAAAAAAAAAAAAAAACGAAAAGTAAAAAATCAATCAGTACTTGGATCTGTCATGCTCACTTTGGAGAGTCATGCCTGAGCATTGGCATCGTGAATCGTATGAATCTGAATATAATCCTGAATGGAATGGGGAATGGCTTTGACTTGATGTGAAAGTTCAGGTGTGTGCCCCACTAGCTGTACGTGCGAGTCGCTGACCGATGAAATCCTAGGCATGCTGATTGAGCAACATATCTGGGGAAGATGCAAAACCTGTTGTACCTTAAAGAAGGCTTGTGCACAGGCATTTTTTCCCCCTAAAATATAGTGCCTGGAATGCATCGAATAATGCATACTCTGTCATCATTATATTCCAGAATGTAGCAAGATTTGTTGGAGAAAGCAACTTGTTGCCACAGAGCACGCCACGCACTGAGTTGCAGTGCTCACTGAAGTTGGAGGCATATGTTACTCAGCGACAGGGCAATCCTGCGTAGAGGAACCCTTGCATGCAGTTCATGTTGCAGCAGACAGCGACGAACACTTGTAACCGTGCTCCAATATTGTACTAACATACGAGAGGATGCTCTACAATCCATCACAGCCATGCAGATGAGGTGTTTGTCGTCCTGTGCTGTTGTGTGCCCCATTGCCAGGATTTCACCTTGTTTGGTTCTCGCTGTCCATTTCTTCCAAACATGCATCACTGTTGTGGCATTGTGCTGCGTGCGGGCTGTGATTGTTTGATATGAAAGTCCACCCTCTTGCATACAGACGATGTGGCCTCGTTCAAACTTGTTGGTATGGCATCCTCCGCTGTTGACGAGGCATACTGAGCACAAATTAAATGTTCACTGCAGACGGAGGATGATAAACAGATTTCAGCACAACTTTACAGTCCTTTACAACTGCCAGTTCTCATTTCATGCATGCATAATCCCTTTGTAATTCTAATCATTTGTATGTCTTAACTCACTTTACATTTCATGTAAGTTTGGTTCAAAGTGCATAATTCCTTCATGGTTGTGATTTTCACAAACATTAGTGTATATTAGGTAGTCCTAACTAAAAAAGCATCTTGAAATAAAAGTATGCAGTTGTCCAGATCAAATGTTTATTTTACAGAAAAATATAAACAGCTTATGCATACATGCATTGTTTTTATAGGATTCTGATCATACCTGAATAATAATTTTTCACTAAGTTGTATTTTACAATATTCTTTCAAATAAGTAACAGTTACTTATCCATTATTTTAATTAAAAGAATTTTGTATATATTTTCGTTCTTATCAACTAATGAAAGGGATGTATAAATTGTTTATAAATTCACAATGTCACTTAAACCATTTTCGTGAAACAGAAGCCTTATTCATAACAATATAATCAAACATACCAAGGTATAATTTTATTAAGTCCCTGAGTTACATCAGTATGAACTTATGATGGAACTATTGGAACAATACTCATCATGAGTTGAGGATTACTTATAATTTGTCAGTAGGCATGTATGAAAATGGGTTTTGTAATTAATATTGAATGTATAACTTTTTCTTTTCATATAAATACAGGATTTCATGTTCTTTTCTTTCATATAAATACAGGATTTCATGTCTGCAGATAATGTATTACAAGAGGCTGTTGTGTGCCAGTGGACAAGCTGGTGAGAAGCTGAACACTAATAGCTTGAATCCTGGTGAATGGACTGCCTGCATAAGCGTCGTCATGATTTTTCCACGTGTAATATGAATGCAAGCCAGTTTGCCTTAAAGCATCCCTTCTTGGAAAATATCTTCTAATGTTTCATCACAAAAATCAGTCAAAAACTGTTTCTCATGATTTGAAAAATACGTATAAAGGAAGTCAAATTTAATTGATAAATTGTGCATGCTGAGATTGTATACTATATCATATACATTTTTAATATATTTTCTGTATCTCTAATGTTGAGAATTTTGATGTTTTAATTTAACCCTGAATAAAATGTTAAGTACTATAAGCAAAGTAAGCAGTATTGTATTTGATGTCAGAACAATATTTTTTTTTATTTTTTATTTTATACTTGTATATTTTTTTGCTTATGATTGGAATTTTAGTACAAATTATTTTGGCATGATGTGGCCTGTTCTCATTTAAAATGCATTTTGTATTTTTTTTTTCTTCTGTTATTTGCATTATAATAGTTTGGCCATAACAACTATGGATGCCAAATCAACATGTATGGGAATAACTGTATTAAATTTTGAGAAAACCTTTAGGTGTCATTTATTATAAAGGTGAGATGATTAAAGTTGAGATGTTTTTATAAATTCATTCATTCTTATCTATTTAAGAATTATCATTTAACATAAAAATATGAAAAAGAATAATATATTATAATACTAAATAAAATATACTTTTATATATATATATATATCCAAGCTCACTATATGCACACTCAAAGAGATACATTTCTTTTTTGTGATGTATGTGATGATAATTTACTGTTAAGTATCTTAAGTTGTTCATAAATAGTGCTCATTTTTCATAATGCACCAAACAAACCTCACATAATTAATTTAATAAAATATTATTGCAGAGACATATTTTTGAAATTGACATTAGTCCCTCTATCCGTCCGTCCCATAGGGATAATAACTATGGGGCAGATTCCTACTGTCATCTACAATATGCCCAAGCCCTTCGCCAATGACAGTTGCTTCTCAATACCCGTATTTTACAATTAAATTCATGAATCTGATCTGGCTGAGTTTCATATCAGGGGAATTAAAAAAGCAAAATACATTCATTACCTAAAACCATTTTTCTCCAACTAGCTGGATGATTATGTGATTGGTGTGCATGGATGGTAATGTGAAAGGATATGATTAGATTTCTTCTAGGTCATAACAGTTTTTAATAATGAAAAGCTCTTGTTCTTTTTTCTTTAAATTCTTGTTTTTTTTTTTTTTTTTTTTTTTTTTTTATTTCAATGCACACTTTTTTAAAAGCAAACTGAATTAGCTGGATGATCACTACAAGTTTCTTGACATATTTAAAAGTAAAATATTGCATCTACATTCATTTTGAATAAATTGTTATTACTATAGTCTGCAATCATTGAGTTCATTTTAAGATTATTTGTCCTTTTTTTGTTTGTGGAATAGGAGGCTGTATTTTTTAGATTTTCTGTTTATTTAGCCAGTTTTCTATATAATGGCTAACATAAAATATAATTTATGTTAGCCATTATATAGAAATTTATGTGCCCTGTTTTAAAAATTATGTATATCTTAATTTAAGTTTGTCTCATGTCAGATGAACAATGCTGCTAGTCTGGTTGAGAAATTAAGAAAGTCTGACCATTCCATGAAAAATCTTTTAGAACAGCTCACTGATTAAAATACATATACACACCAATTAACTGTGCTCATCAAAAGTGCTGTATTATTTAATGCTTCTTCTGATGAGCAAAATTCAAAGCATTATTTCTCTTGTTTTTTTCTGTGTATGAAGTTTGTAGCAAAATGGAATTATTATTTTTTTTTAATTTCATTCACTGATATCACTATTTTTATATGTCTGATAATGATCTACTGCATAAGTAATATCTATATGCAAACATAAACCAAAATCTTGCTTTAGAAGAATTCCACCGGTTTCGGTTCTCGAATAGATAAGACCACAGAATACTGGTGATACAATTTAGGTTTGAATTCTATCAAATGGGTTAGCTACATCTCTGTTTTTACAGTTTTCCCTATGTTTAATACGAATACAAGTCAGTTTCATTCAAAAAGTGCTCAAAGAAGGGCATCTCTTCTTTTAAGCAGATAGCCCTCAGGACCTTTGCCATAAAAATTCAACAGCTGAGCATGTACTAAAAGATAACATAGTATACAAATGTCCATTTTATAACTTTCAAATGAAGTGGTCGATTTAAATTTCACATCTGGTGCTATAGCAATATATGTGACTTGGGTAAACAGCCAGTTGATATGGTCTAAGGAACAGGGTTTTTAATTTTTATTTTCTTTTCGTATAGCAAACTAGCTTGCCTATGCATATATGCAAGTCTAATTTATTTTTTACAAAAGATTCATATTAAAATACATACACATATGACAAAGAAATGTATGCACATAAACTATAACTAATAAATCAATTGAGCAATATGTGAACATAGATGCTAATGGTTCAAGTGTCGTGTAGCAGGGTATGACTGCAAACCCTATAGTGGTGCTGCAAACAAAAATTAGTGTCTGATTCAAAGCAGGCATAAAAACTAGTATACAGTTTGTCCCCATATGACACAAAACAAAAAGTATGTAATCAGAAAAAATATCATGTAGACATTGATTTACCCAACTTATAAGCTTCGGTAAAGGCCTTATCATTCGCCTTAAATCTGTAGAATGATCAGCACCCTTCTGCTTTGGAAACAGCTCCAGAAAGACATGTTAACCTAATCCCACACTACAGTAGAACATGTGCCTCTGAACCATTACCATCGAAACTGCAATTTCAGAGTCACTATGTACACTAATCTCGATATTAAAGCACTGGTAGCTCTATTTGCGATTGTGCTACTGTAGATGAGTGTAGAGCACCATAGAATGGTGATATATAATATTAGGTTTATTTAGGAGAAAAAAAAAAAAAATTAGAAATGACCTATCCTGGATTCGAAATCTGGGCTTAAAGACTGCCATCCAGAAGTGCTTCTAATTACATCATGAAAGCATGCGTTGAGAAAAAAGAAAATTCCGTACATTCTTCCCCATTTAAAAGGCAGTTGGGGAGGTGGTAACCTAATCGCCACCTGCTGGTGGTGAAGAATTATCGTCTACCACATTTTAGTTTGGGAACCACTTGGTTAGTTAGTTGGTTGAGCCTTTAGGTATTTATTTGAAATAGAAAATATCAGCGAATGACCGCCCCAGGATTTGCATTCTGGACTTCCCTATTGCCAGCCGAACGTGCTTCTAATTAGAACACGAAGCCAAGCGGTAAGGAAAGAGAAAATTAGTGACTTAGTATCTTATTTTATTTTGGCTGCACACAGTTCCTATATGTAGCTAAGCGAATTTCCCGGTCAGTAGCATAAATCCCAACCTTCCTAGTGGACAGCGTGCTTCCGCTCCTGTAAAATATTGCGATTTAAGAAGTCATCCACGATAGCTGATCAGTTCTGCAATTATATAAATAATAAAAATTAAGAATGAAATGGAGAAATTAATGTAACGTTAGTACAAACAAGAAGATGCAACAAAAAGATCAATTAGGAGATCACTTAGGGTCCGGTATTGTACAGCATGCACATATACGTAGCATGACATCTATGGGGTGTAGGAGAGGGTATAAAGCATGGTGTATGCTCAAAACATGAACGGAAGCTACTGCACGGTACATTCGGTTTTAACAACATCGATTTGTAGTCTCAGCGTGACAGTTCTATAGACAATATCTGGACGACTTTGTCTGGAAGTTTGAAAGAAGGCCAAAGTGCGACTATACACATCATGTCAGTAGTTTGGATTACATTTCGAACAAAGGGAGCAGCTATCTGAATGTTTAGTAATGCTCATTGCCAAATTAGACTTTTATATGCCCGTAGCACTTCAAAGATTTTGCTGCCTCCACATACATCTATAGTATAACGCCTCTTTCTCATCATTCCCTCTTTCTCGGCCTTGGATTAACTGCACTAGGATTCCCTTCTAAAATCTGCAGTGAGAATTTTATTTTTGTGGAGCCTTTGCACTCTTTCTTTGAATCTTAAGCACCTTTTTTGTAACGCCGCCTTTACCTGATGCCCTAAGCACCACGTGCTTACTTTCCTTAATGGCTAATCCAACTCTAGTGGTTTTCCACAAACAACCACGCCAGGATATGAAGAACTGATATCTTCTCTTACAGATGATGAGTTGGGTTCAGTTTATTTAGTTATGGTGAAACATTCGAGGGCTACCTGTCTAAGGGAAGGGATGGCTTCGTGAAAGACTTTCTAAGGGAAATTGGACTGTATATAGGTTACACATATGGAAACCATGAAAACGCTTAGTTAGCAGCCAATCTGCTCGCCGGGATTCGAGCCCCGGCCCGAGTTTATCGGCTTTACCGCTCGGCCACTGGAGAGCCGTCTTTAGATGATGCGATATCTATGCTAATGACTCCCATCATCTGGTGGTGGTGACAGTGGGTGACATCCTAAGATGCATGCAATCTATTACTGGACATCCAATATGGCTAAAGACTTGCTATAGTTTTCAGCGCCTAAAGACAACTGCAGATTTCGTACACCCAACTTGCAGATTTCGCCTAAAGACAACTGCAGATTTCGTACACCCTTCTGTTTTCTAAGTATGGAAACTGTTTCATTCTAAAACTTCGTCAGTTTGGCATTTCCGTGACACTACGCCCAGGGACAGTTGTCCACCCTCGCCCGTCTCTAGCTATAACACTGATATCACTACGAAACAATCTGATGGTGTTTTGATCGCTTTGCGGACTTTCATGCCTTCTCGTCGGAGGCAGTGTCTTCTGTAGTGTTGCAAACAAAAGATCTGAGTAGCTCCAGTGGAGTGGCGAGCATAACTGGCGCCCGGGGCAAAATACCTTTTTGGCGCCCCCCTTCCCGAAAAAAACACAGTGATATGATGAAAATCTTGTTTGGAGACCATTTGGCGCCCCTCTGCGACCGGCGCATCATACACCCCCTTTACGCCACTGAGTAGCTCAGCAATGGAGTTGAGCTTTAAGGATAGCAGCAGTCGCTGGCAAGACTAAACAGGGAAAGGGGGGTGTCATCCAGTTTTCTAGGACAATAGAGCAGCCGCTGCAATATTATATGAGGGGTTATCATCCCGGTTCAAGAATAAGATAACAGCTTTAATCTTCCGATATTTAGATTATCTAGCCATTCTGGAAGTCTAAATATCTAGATAAAGCAGAGATTACGCAGTCGTCCCTCTAAGATCATCGAAAGGAAACAGTTTGCAAGTGCTCAAATTTTCGTTTGTGGAAGTGAAATGCTTGGTCGCTATATGAAGCTCCATACATCTGAAGAAGATTAATTCACTACTGAAGTGCTAAACTGACTGCTGGTCTGCTGAAATGCTTGGTCGCTATGAAGCTCCATACATCTGAAGAAGATTAATTCACTACTGACTGCAGTTGTGCTAATGTTCTTCTCCTCACGTGCATCTTTTCCAAGATTCTTCGCGAACAATAGTGCTACACTTCATGGTATACCAACTGTCGCTAGCTTGTTA